AAGTTAATTTGTTGAGCCATCTTTTCCATCATATAAATGCAGCATATCTCACATATTTGCAATGACAAAACCCTGAGAAATTGGAACAAAAGGATTTCTACGGATCACTAGCCTAAAGATAAAAATGAACAAATCACTCCAAACCTCACTGTATTTTAGATCTCCACGTATTAGGGTGATCATTCATGTGGATGGGGCATGATGGACTTGGAGGAAACAATAAAATTTGGGTTACATTTGGCATAGAAATTCTTTTAAATTTCTCTTGAAACTAAGCTTAGGAAACCAAGAATACCATGGTTGGTGTAAATTTTCTTATGTGGTTTCATGAATCTTAGTTTCCCTCGGAATTTCATTCTCCACAAAATTTGGGCAACTTAATCTAAAAGACGCCCATGGGATTTCAATTTCTTGTATTATTTTCTTTGAATATTGGTTCTGAACATGATTTTTATTGATTGTTAGGGTATTTACTTCCTCGGATTAATGGTAAAAACACATTCCTGAGATTGAATTGCCTTGCAAACATTTCCCAGTGGAAAATTTAAAAACTTTATAACAAACATCCCCACAAGGCTCTCTTTTGAAAATAACTGAATAATATTCTAATGGGGTTATCGATTGGTTATAAATTTGGGCAAGTGTGACTTAATTTGAGACCTATTTAACTAATTTGATTAGATTAAGGAAGTTAGGTAATTTAGTTAATTATAACAAATATGACATATTTTTCCTAAAACACCATAATCATCTTTCCTAATATCCTCTTTTCCCCTTCTACTTGGTTATGGTTGAGGGAGATCCATAGGGGTATTTTAGAAAAAATTGATAAATATGAAAAATAAGTCCTATATTTAAGACCAAAATCAACTCAATAATTAAGTCTTATGTTAAGGACCGGAGGAGTATATATGTTACAGACCTAGAACATTAGTGATCAAGTGATGGATTTTACGAAACATTCATGCGTCCACTATTCCAATACTTTTCCAAACAAGGTGTTAACAAACTATCCAGCATTTTCAGATTAATTAGTCATGAGAAAAACCAGATGATATATATTTTACCTGTGCTCATATATGGACACAAAATGGGTGATTACATGATGAGTTTATCTAAGTTTGGCGATCACCTCTGAAAGGATATGAAATACTGCATATGTTTTATCTATTTATTTTTGTAAAATATAAAAAGTATTAGAATGAAATTAAATAAAACAAAGTCTGGGCCACAAAGTCATAGCTCAGTTATCCACTAGGAATGAAACATCGGACAGGAAAAGAATTCCAAAACAACATAATTGTCATGTGACATGTAACAGCAATATTGGCAGTTGGCCAACAACATTAGCTATTTGTTTGACTTCCCCAAAAATGTGGCCCCACTTTGGATTCCCACTCTTGCTGTGCTTTAGCTTCCTCCATAGAAATGAGGTTATAAGAGGCAATTATTGAGCTTTGTCGGCATTTCTCATCATTTTCACTACTATTAAGGCATCCAAGTCGACAAAAATAGGCAGAAGATTATGCAGTAGCTGCAATGCAAGAAGAAGCTAAATTTCAGCGGCCATGTTGGTTGTGTTGCCTAAATTTTCTTGGGACTTGTTTCCTAATTTCCAGAACCACTTTAGACAACAGCTTCTCCAAGTTGTGGGCCAAGGTTGCCTTTAGCCTTTATCTGCGCTATCAAAGTTAGTTCATAGTGGCCATATGGGGTAGAAATCCTGTTTAACTATCACCTTCCTACGTGTCCGTACTTATTCTCACCTCAGCGTGTTCACGTTTTCCCTGGTGAATTATCAAAATTTCTGTGAATCATTTCCCGCATTATAGAATTTCTTCCCCCATATTGCAAGTTCATTAAGTCGCACTACTGTAGTCTATCTGTATTTGCTAGATGTGCTTGAATTAACTTTTACTTTTTACAATGAGTCAGATTTTACAGCAATTGAAGGAAGAAAGAGATGCTGCTGCCAAGCAAACAGTTCAGCTGAAACAAGAATTGGTAACTAATTATGCAAGCTTCCTCGCATTACCCCCTTTATAGAAATTCGATTAAGAACTAAGCCTCCAAATATTTTGCTAGACTGTCTAAAACTGTCAATAATTGGTACAAGTCCCCCCCCCCCCAAAAAAAAAAAAAAGTAAAATGGAAACAACATAGGCAAGTAAAAAGCAGAGGGTAAAAACTTGGAGAGGCTTGTGGGGAGTTACTTCACTGATTCAGGGAGATGCTGCTTTGAGAAGAAAATGAGTTGTGGGGATCAATTAAAGCGGGATGGGTTCTGATGATGAGGTGTAAAGGAGGCAAAATTGTTAGTAGAACCTATCAATATCTGAACTCACATTTGCTCAACAAAGGGTTCTTCAGAACGGTTGAATCTGAAATTGTTGACTGCCCTTGCAAAAACACTAACCCAAGGGTTTTGTCAATGTGCAGGACATGCTGAAAAGGCGAAGAAAAAGAAACGATCCTGGCTTTTCCTTCACCTTCGCCATTGTTGTGGGTCTCATTGGACTTATACTAGGCTGGTTTTTTAAGCTTAGCTTTGGAAGGTCTTCACCATCTACTGAGTTTATACCACCTGCTGGGTTTTCGCCATCTACTGAATGATTTCATACAATTCAGAATCTCTATTTGTTCCCCTGTTGTTCACACTGTAAATCTATTTCTGAATGGATATTTTATTAAGCTATTTTTTTTTATCATAATATAAATTAATTTAAAGCATCTTCTACAGTCTAGGCCCAACTTACCCATATGGCAACTTTGAGTACATCCCCAAAAGATTTAACCTTGCGCGTATCAAAGGAATTGCTTCCTTCCTCCTACTGTCCAGCGCTTTGTTGTTGGCATCAATATTATGTTGGGAGAAGCAGAGAATTACAATGAGATAAAAAAAAAAAAGAAATTACAAAATAAGTCCAGAAGTTATCATTTTTTATTTTGGATCTTATCATTACAAGCTACTTAGATTATTATTGAGACTTTTTAATAATTATTATTTTTTATTGAGATCTTATTATAATTCTCCCAATATTTCATTATTTATAGGTGATGGAAAATGTAATTATATCCAAACTCTTTACAAATGCTTAGAGAGCATGCCCAACCCTCACAAATGCCAACATTAATTAATGTTCGTTCAGTCGTGTAAGGATATTTTTGAATTAGCAGTGGCATAAACAACTTTTTTTCAATATGGTTTTTATATATAATATCATTTATGTTTGAATTGACTTTTAAAAAAGTATCAGTTTTTAAAAGTAGAAATTGTTTGGATTATTACTGAAAAAATAAGTTTAGTTGTAAAATGATTGAAAAGAGTATTAATTTTATTAAATAATAGTCCCTCCGGTTCTAAATATAAGACTTCGTTTGACTTTAATTTTAGTCCTAAATATAAAACTTTAATCTATTTTGTCTTTCATATTTATATATATTTTTTTAAGATAGTCTTTTTGATAATAATAGTTTTAGCTAATTTACTTAGTTAGCAAAGATATTTTAGAAAAGACAACACCTATTTATTACAAATAACTAACTTAACTTATTTTCTCAATCTACTCAAATTAGTCAGTTAGCTTTTATAATACATGTATTTCTATTTTTGCTAGAATATATATCATACTTATTAAATAATACATATTTTTTCTCAGAATATATATACTATTATACATATTGTATTTACATAATATGAAAATTTTAAGAGAAATGTGAGAAAACAATAATAGAAATCTTCTAGCAGGCACGTACGATTAATCCCTCCGAAGTCATAATGGTCTCCCTTGTTAACATTTTTTTGGAGTAAAAATTATGCAATATTAACATCATCAATAATTTATTATTGAACAATAGTTGTCACAGTAAAATACTACTAATTGCCAGCTGAGCAGAGAAAAAAGAGAGACAATAGAAGGACAACTCCTGGAAATTAATTTTCATAGCGCATTGAATGTTGATAAAAATATCTCATCGCATCGTGCTGTGCTCCAAAGTAGAAAAATTTGGCTTCATCCTCAATTGAGCTTTTGGAACAAAAGCCGTTTAAAAGTTGTTTGGATAAAAAATTATAGTTTGAAAAATAGTTTCTGAAAAATAAATTTTGAGAGAATAGATTTTGTGAAGAATAGATTTTTTATAAACATATTTAATCTTATATTTTATAAATATATATACACATATTAATTATTTATTAATTATATTATCTTGTATATTATTAATTATGTTGGTAAAAATATATTATTAATAATTTTATTTCTTCAAATTAAAATATATTATAAAATATATTATTTATATAATTATCATATTAACTTATGCCTTTTTTAGTAATTTGTACATATAAAAAGTGCTTTTGATAACAATTATTCAAATACTTTCATTTTATCAGAATCACATTTTCATAAAATCTATTCTCCCAAAAATCTAATTTCCAGAAGTTATTTTCTAAATCATGATTTGGTTTTATCCAAACATCCTTTTTAAATAAAAGAATATTTAACTTTGGGCAATCATTTATTTGTTGCCAATTGTTTTTTCTCAAAAAAAAGAAGAAAGAATAGCAGTATCATGGAAAAAATGGATGAAAACGCAAGAAATGTATTGTCTTTTTTGAAATAATCTTGTTAATTATGTGTATTAGTTAAAATTACTATTTAATAGAACTTTTAATATATGTAATTAATATGAAAATTACTTTAAAAAATAAATAAATATAAAAATAAAATAAATTAAAAATCTTATATTTACAATTAAAATAAAAATCAAATTAATTTTTATTATGAAGTACATAGTATTTTATTTAAATTTTTATCAGGTTAAGTAAAAAACCTCTCAAAATGGGCGGGCTTCGGCACATACGAAATATTGAACCCAGAAGTGTTCATTGCTTCCCGCCTATTATTTCTTCTTCCATTTCCGCGAAATACCTTCTCTCTCATTCATCCTGCTCCATCTCTCACCTTCGATTTCACGGCATCTGATGGGATCTCTTATCGCCTGCCAAGTTCTCGACGCTTCGACCTCCTCTGAGTCCGAAATGGCCTGGCACTTTGCGTCCCTTCTTCTATCCCTCGGTCATCCAGCACATCCCGCCGACCTCGCTTCTCGATGCACATTATTTACTGCTTCTCCTGAACTAGTTGAGTTCCTCTGCTTGATCCCTGAATCTCCCATCTTGCTGACCTCCAATTTCTATGTCACTCTCTCTGCTGTTGCTATAGTCGCTGTTGGACACTTCGTCTCGGTAGCCGACTTTTTTGGTAGTTCTTTTATACCTAGATTTGGAATCAGAGTTTCCTCGACGGACGGCTGGGGAAACAGCTGTAGAAAACGGAAACGAAGGCTTATTTTAGATTCCGATTTCCTTCCCGTGGCAAAAAGAGGGATAAGTTATTATTCTGAACATGGTAACAAGTTATTCTGTTTTTGGTATGTTTTGATTATGTCCATTTTAATTTGTGTTTTGGTTTAATTTTATTGTTATTATTCGAATGGCGATGCAGTAGATGAGTTGGATCCAATGAAATTGCTTCCTCCGAAGAGAATCAGCGATGACTCTTCTAGGGTAATTTGTTTTCTCGGTTACTTACCAGCTAGAATTACGTTTTTATTTTTTGATGTAACTAAGTACTGATTATTTTTATCAATTCATGTCATCTCTGACACTGAACTGGTATTTCTGTTTCATGACAATGCAATCGTGTTTTCCCTTCAGATTATTTTACAGTCACATGGCACGCTAAGCATTGAATTATTCGAAAGTCCCGATCAATGCAAGGAAGTTAAAATGGAGGAAACTTCCGGAAGTAGAACAAATTTCAATGATACATTAAAAGATGTTAAATCTACCAGTATGCCTCCGTTGGTCGATGACAGGATTAATGACAATGAAGTAGTTCCAGACATTAGAATAAGTGATAGCAAAGTATCCTTGGAATGCAAGCAGATGTCTTTAATGAATTCCGGTAGCACGAAACCTCTTCAAAACATAGTACAGCCATCACATACTGCTGTTTTAGAAATGCCGCCCAAAGGTGACATTGGAAGGATTCATGATGGAAACTTCGATGAAGTTAACCATTTGAGTGGAAAGTCAATGGCTGCAGATATGAAAAGTATGGACTTCTCTATGGGTCCCCTTTCTGCACAGAAGTTTCCTCAATCCTCTTTCAAGACAAATGCGGTGCCCAGCGATGTTACTGTTCCTAGTCTGCAAAACACGTCCAAAAATTTACATAATGAAGAGAAGCGGAACTTCAATAGAGGTCAGCCATCAATGAGTAAGGGACAGAAAAACAATTGCACTGCCATGCATTTCAAGGAAAAAAGGGGAACTTCGATCTCAACGTGTCCTGAGGTGTGTTTTTAAATTTGAGACACTGCTATCTTGTTGACTTTTGGCTAGGATATATTTTTACAATTATGCTGGGAACTCACTTTTTACTTTCTCTACAACTCATTAAATATGTTTAGTCGAAGTTTTTCTGACGAAGAGCTGGTGATTCCTGTCATGTAGGATCAAAAGGAGCGTAAGGATCTTCCAACATTTGAATCGTACATTGTGGAAGAGGAAGAAGGCTCAGGTATTAAAACGTTGATCGGTTTCTGATTTGGCCGCTGCATCCACATTGATCCAATTCTTTTTGAGTGTATAAATTTATTGACAGTTCTTCTAATAAAACTTAATCTTGCAGGTGCTTATGGCATTGTTTACAAGGCAAGGAGGAAGAATGATGGAGCCACGGTTGCCCTTAAATGTATCCATCAAAATCAGACCTTTCTATCTCTTAAATCACTGAGGGACTATATAATCTTTGTTGATTGAAATATGCCAAAAATCAGAGCACACTGGAACAGCGTAAATGAGCATACAAACATAGCAACGTGATGAAACTTGAAATGTTTGTCTACTTTTTAAACTAAGGTTAAGGTGCAAATTTTTTTTTTTTTTTCAAAGTTTTCACTTAGGAGCACTAAGCATTAGAGAGTTCATCTTGAAAGTTTAAAATCATAGCAATGTTGCCCTTTACTGATAAAAATGTCAACGGTTGATGTTACCATTTTAACAGTCAACTTTGGTCTTTCATGGCAAATATTGCTATAATTTTAAACTTTTGAGACAACTTGGCACCCAAAAAAACTTTTGAATACCTAGTGCTTCTGAATGAAAATTTTTAGGATAAATTTGCATCTTAACCTTTTAAAGTATCACAATTATGTAAAATGCATATGCCCAACCCACATTAGGCATGAAAGTTGCTCATTATCGAATTTGACAGTTCAGAGTTCATAGCACATTGCTTATCATCAATAGAACTAACTCGAGCATTCTTTTTCATGCCCCATCACCGTTTATTTTATAAAAAATAATTAAAGCGACATAATCATTAGTACTCCCATCGGGCAATCTTGGAATTCTCAGCCATACAGGATCAAAATTTTTCACATCCATTTCTTTCATTCAGTCCATGTTATTGACCACGAAACATTCTTCGTTTTCACTATTCATGAATGACACAAGTTATGACCTTTCAGAAGTAGAAAGTGCTAATTTTATCATTGTGGCTTTTCAGGTCCTCATGCTAAAGCTCATGGGCAATATGTTACTAACGAGCTCAAAGTGCTGGAGCGATTTGGGTAAGCACAATTCAGAAATATTTCTTGAACATTTTGAGTTGCCGGTTTAGCTTTGAAGTTAATGACGTTTCTATTACAATGACTTCATAATTCAGAGGCAAAAACTTTATCATTAAATATGAAGGCAGCTTCAAGAATGGCAACACTGATTGCTGTGTTCTAGAACATATTGAGCACGACAGGCCTGAGGTAAATTTCCCACATTTAAATGGAAGTTTTTGTGTTATTTTCTGTTTTCACTCTTATATGCACATTTTTTCCCTCAAATAGGTGTTAAGGAAGGAAATTGATGTTGTTCAACTCCGATGGTATGGTTACTGCATGTTCCGGGCTCTTGCGGCTCTTCACAAGCGGGTATGGAGACTTATATTTTTGTAATATATGCAACACTAGGAAAATTGGAGGTTCTAACGATTGCTTATGCATACGCAGGGAGTAATACACAGAGATGTTAAACCTGGCAATTTCCTTTTCTCCCGTAAGCTCAACAAGGGTTATCTGATTGATTTCAATCTTGCCAAGGTTTGTATTTTGTTTCTGTAGCGTAACATAAACAGATTTTTTATGTTGTTCAATGTGAAATTGTTTTATCTTGTAATTTAGCCTATTGTTGCTGCTTTTCTCAGGATCTGCATCAGAAGCCGGGAAATATCGGTAAGCTTCCAGTACTCTCTTAGCTTTATACGTACATTCCCGAATAACTGAAGTCCTAAGTGAATGATAATTGAATTGCTAAGTCTTTGTTTAGGAACAAATGAAGGGGAAAAGAATTAGGGGGAACCAAGAAGAAAAATAAGAAGAATGGAAGTTAGACAGTGCCACTGTAGATTCGTTTCCCCTCATATTTTGTTTGAATGTCATTAAACAATGATAAAGGAATGGCGAGATCACTGTAAAATTCCACGTTCGCATGTGATTTTGACTGAGTTAATATCTTAAGAAAGTTGATCGGGTAATTTAGAATATCATTAGCTTATGTTGTAATCATCTGTTGAATTTTCTGTGCTTGTGGAAAGATTTGATTTTGTAGGAGTTAAAGATAAATACTGTTTTTCATTCCTTCCCTTTTCAATTGCTTTGAATGAGATGTAAGAATTTTGACAATTAGGTTGTTTGCACGAAGACCCCATTTCTATGAGGCTCTACTACACGTCATCAGCATAAATAATTATTTGGGCAGCTTTCTGTTTGCTGGAGCTTATAGTATAATTTACAATCAATGCAAATAATTGCAATGGTGTGGTTCAATCGCTAATTACATCAAATTTTTTGTTGAAAATTTCTACAGCTTCAACCAAATGCAGAAAGTTCCCAAATGTCAATTTTTTGGAAGCTGCCAATCAACAGATAACTAATGCCTCCAAATCAATATTAGATCCTAAGGACAGCAGAAGAAAGGCTGTGGCGCAGTCGAAGACTAAAAATGACCGAGGTAGTGGGCAGGTGATGAAAAGTCAAGGTGCAGACGGCTCTGGCGTAACTTCGGCGAAGGACGTCACCAGCGCAAGAACATCACTTGAAAAGAGACTGAGTCTGGTAAGGCCAAGGAGGAAAGAGTTGATTAACATCTTGCAAGAAACGCTGTTAGGTCCGAATCAAGAATTATCAAACACTCCTATGAGAAAGCGGGTTCCTGCTCCTCGTAATAAGATGGAGAGTGAGCATGTCTACATCTCTCCCATGCCTTTGAACTCAATTGGCAATGATGCCACCGGTGCTGGATTTCTGAAGAGTAAAGGTTAGATGCTTTTATTCGAGGGCTATATAGATGGATGGTGGACAAACAGAAATCTTTATATTTAATACTTTTCTATTTGCAGGGAATGGAAAACAGACAAGAGAAGGTTCTTGTGTGGGAACAAAAGGCTTTCGGGCTCCAGAGGTAGGATGAATGTGAGCTTGTTGATGAAATGAACGGAGCAGAAGTGCATACTTTTTTATGTCAACACCATAAAACTATTGCTATATTACACTTTCAGAGACATGTTAACATGCTCACACATGGAATATCTTGCATAAAATGCTATCCTAATAACTCTAAAATTAAATTTCTTTATTTTATCGAATGTTGCTTATTACCCTTTGCAATTCCTTTGATAAGGTAGAAATTGTGTTTTTCATCTTGTTTGGCAAGGATGGTGTATATAATTATTAGTCTCTGTAGGAACATTAGAATTAGTGAAAATTCTGTCACTGTAAGAGGTTGTTTTTCTTTGTATATGCTGTTGTGAAAATAAAAGTATAGCGGACTTTTTAAATGTCTCCTTTTTCTTGGATCGAAAAATATATGACTTGTTTATTTTTATAAACAAGCAAGAAGCTTGATGTTGAACGGTGAGTACTCTGTGCAGGTATTGTTCAGGTCTCCACATCAAGGTCCTAAGCTTGACATCTGGTCTGCCGGTGTATCCTTGCTCTATCTCATAATCGGGAAAACTCCTTTCACTGGAGATCCTGAACAGTAAGAATTTCTACTATAATCCAACACTTCAGCATGTATGGCTTATTTACCTTCACTAGTCATCCTTACAATTTCCGTTACCCGTAATCTTCAGGAACATAAAAGATATAGCTAAACTGAGAGGCAGTGAGGATCTATGGGAGGTTGCTAAGCTACACAATCGGGAATCCTCGTTCCCTGCGGTATCTATCATATAAGAATGGAATACACTCTGAATTTTGATTCAAAATCCTTATCACAACTAAAATTTAACTGCTTGTGTTGTAGGACTTGTACGATAAACACAGTTTGCCATTTTTGCGACTTCGAGATTGGTGCATAATGAACACTAAGAGACCAGAATTCCTGGAAGTCATTCCCGGTTCACTGCTTGATCTCTTGGACAAGTGCTTGATGGTGAACCCTAGACTGAGAATCGGTGCAGAGGAGGCTCTTCAGCATGAGTTTTTTGCTCCATGCCATGAGAGCTTGAGGAAGGAAAGGCAATGCAAGAAGGAATTGAGTTGAACCCACGTGTTTTATATCACAAATCATTACTCACTAGCATAGTTCATGTTCTGGAGTAGGAGTTTGTGATTTTGTGTAGCTTAACATAGGTTGTTTTACATAAATCTAAATACAAAATTCTTGCTGGCAGGGCCCCCTTCCTGTCATTGAAACAAACATTAGGCAATGAAAGTAACAGTGTAAATATCTTTCCTCCGAGGTATTCTTTTGTTTATTACAATGTCACTTGTAATGAATCAGAGATGTAATGGATGTCTCCAATGGTACAAGCTGAAATTGTGCAGTGCTGATAATGTGTGCATTAAATTAAATACTTTTCTGGTTTTATTTATAAGACATTTCTAACATGTTTTATACAGATTAAGAAAAATTTTAAATTGCATTAACTTTTTATTAAAATATAACAATTTTTCAACTTTACTTTCATTTAATATATATACATTTCAAAAGAATAACTATCTATACTACAATAAATAAAAGACAAAATAATATATTTGTGTTAAAAATTTAATGAAGTGACTTATAAATAGGATTAAAAAAAAAAACTTCTCTTTTGTTTCATAAATAGTACCAAAAGGAATACTTTATAATGTTGTGTTATCTAGTGAGATGGATCTTTTTTCTTGTCCCACAGCCCAAAAGCAGACATTTTAGAATTTCCTAAAAATGCATCGATTTTACCAATGATTTCACCAATAATAAGTCTTGGTCTTTAGCAAAATAGTTTAAGTTTTTGTTGAATTATAAGAATTAATATTTTAAATAAAAAGAAATTTGAGAAATTAAAACATATGATTTAAAACTTGAGGGACTAAAATCAAAATGAGAATAAATTTAAAAGAGATAAGTTTGTATTAACCTTTACTATTTTTTAAGAAGCTTCCAGGATTATAGTCTCCCATCTGTGTGAGTGAGATCATCAATGAACCTGTGGCGTTCCTCTAAATTTTACGAACTTGCTCTTAGTAAAGTTGTTTGCAAATGCAATAGGGATATTATAGTAACTAGCACGTGTTTCCCATGCAATGTGCAAGATGCTTGTAATTCTGAAATAGTTTCATCTTAATTGTAATTAAAAAAAGCTCATACTTTTCACACTAAACAAATATTTAAAACAAATACATTTCATGAACTAATTTCAGCAACCAACTTCATTATGCTTAATTGATTATGACAACAATATATCCTTACATGCTTTTCTTTATGTAGCACATTAAAAACTTCATATTTTGATGTTGTTTGCAAATTTCTAACTTTCTCATGGTACAAAATGTTAGTAGTTATTTTTTTCAGAACAGTTTCGACCATAATGAAGAACTTCTTTTTTTTATTTTTATTTACATTGGCCTTAATGCTTTCACAATACATATTGTTTGCAATTTTTGTTTATTCGCCGTCATCACCTTCATAGGGCCTTAATGCTTTAACAAATTAAATTTTTTGACATTGCTATTGGAATGAATCATCATTAATTTAGCAAAAAACCCATTCTCTCTCAGGCCTATAATTCGGACAAAAAAATGGAAATATTTGAAACTAATGAAACCTTAACTTAGGATTCATTTGGTACGAGAAAAATAAAAAGAAAGAAAGTTAAGGAAAATTTTAATGATGTTGACTTAAAAAATTAGAGAATTGGGGTTAAAATTTTTTTATTAATTTTGGTTATTCTTTTTATCTTACATCTTTTCTTTATTAAAATTTTATAATTCTATTTTTCCAATTTTTCAAATCAAACTTGTTAAATTTTTCCTACCTTCCTATAAACGAAAAAAAAAGAGGTTCTTTTCTTGATTTGTTTTACAGAAATCGAACTCTCCCAATTTGAATTCATAATTGGAAGTTCCTATGATATAATCGATCGGTGACTCTTGAAAAAAGAAAGACTTTTCACAGTACATATTTTATTATTAACTGCTTATTATTGTTTATAACTAAATAATAATTACTAATGTGCTCATAACAAAGTGCTCAATGATGCTAGTGGAGACAAATTTCTCCCTTCCCATTCATCTCCATGCGTTGCAACAATGTGCTACCCCGTGACTTCGACTCCTTATTCTCCAACTTCATAATGTCAAAGTGTTTTGAGGAGATTTGGTATTATAAGAAAACACCAATTTGAGCCTTTTGCTATCATTCATTGACTTCGACTGCTCTAATATGACTACGCATTATAAGAAAACACTTGAGCATTGCAGCAACACCACAGTGATATACTAATTGACCATCATCTAATCTGAACAACATAATCTAATCTTTGATCTGTAGATGAAAAACCAAGAGATTGAGAAAGAAAGATGAAAACAACTAGAAAATAAGAATCCTGAATCATAGACAATAAAGGGAAAAATTGATCACTTGCTCAAACTTTTAACATTATAAACTGCACTTAAAGAGAAAAGATTGCATCCTATTTGATGATCCTGAGGAATTCATCCAATAATGTCAATTACAATATCAGGACGAGTAATATAATGCTATTTTTTTCACAACTTCTATTGGGTGTGATGCAAGGGGGTTAGCAATTATTTACGTTAAATTATTAAAAGAGAATCATTCGAATAATACTTGACATGACCATAATTGAATACTTGCTAATAAAATTCACGTGCGTGAGTAGAGGATTTTATCCTGCAACTCTACTCAACTTAGAAGGTGTTTGGATCCTTTTAAAATTATTTTTTAAAAATATTTTTCACAAATCAAGATAAACTCATCCATATATTTATTTTATATACCGTAAAATTATTTTTAATGATTTGGTTTTCATTCAAACATGTTTTTTAGTGGACGTGTGACTTTATAACATGGGTGAGAAAGGCCGAGTTGTGGAATTTAAATGAAACAAATCCAAGCTTCAGCTTTGATTATGCTCGTGATACTGACAGAAACAGGACAATAAGTTTGCCTCAATTCAGGAAAACCATCCAATAAACCTGTTGTTAACTGTTATGTTAACATTGTAAATAGTGTTACAAAAGTTGTTTACCGTTATACTGAAATTGTAAAAATTTTTAAAAAAATTGTTTGTGGCCGTCGGAGCTCCAGTGACCAATTGTTGAATTTCCTAAAAAACTTATTGTTAACTGCTATATTGAAGCTGTTAATAGCGTTACAAAAGTTGTTAACCGTTATACTAAAGTTATAAAAATTTTCAAAAAAATTGTTTCTGACCACTCGAACTCTGGTGACTAATTGTCGGCCTTTCGTAGGAGCTCAGGTGATGGCTACTGGTATCGGTGTCAGAGCTCAGGCGACTGGCTAGCTAGTAGGGGTTTTGGTTTTTTAAAAAACAATGAAGGAAATGAAGGGCAATATGGTCATTTCAGTAAATTTATAAATGTCAAATTGATTATTTGTGACTAAATTAAAATTTTACAAATTCAAGTGACCATTTTGACATTTTTAACCCATTTCTTATTGATCACGTGTCAAGCCTTATTTACAAAGTAAAGAAAGAGAATTTTTTTTATTTTTAATCTAAGTCACATCATTTAAATTTATTATATGAATGCACAATTTTATTTTTAATTTATTGTTTCATAAACTATTATTTTCTTAAAAAGTATATATATTTTGTGATAGGAAATGTGTATATATATTAAATAAAAGTAAAGTGAAAAAGTTGTTAAATTTTAAAAAAGAGTTAATAAGTTTTAATTATTTTTTAATTTTAATGAAATATGGTAGAACATAGAAAGTAAGATTTGGAGGAGTAATTTAGAATGCGTGAAGATTGAAAATTTTTGTTTTTCTGCCAAGTCTTTTTTTGGGGATGTAGATAAAATAATGTTTTTTATTGGATCAAGTGAGATTAATTAAAATGTTATTACTAGGGGTGAGCAAAACCGAACCGCAACCGAAAACCGAACCGAACCGAATTCAATTTCGGTTTTTCGGTTCGGTTATTTCGGTTTTCGGTTATATATTCGGTTTTTATTTTTTAAATAATTCGGTTTCGGTGTTCGGTTCGGTTAGTAGAAAAAAATTTCGGTTATAACCGAATAACCGAAATAAATATATCATATATTTATATTTAATAAATATTATTATAATAAATGTATAGGTGGGTATATGTGAACTTTTTTAATATATTTATATTCAATAAATATGGTTATAACAAATATTATTATAATAAATCACATTGAATCATGAAATATTTATTAATTAATAGTTGTAATTGTGTTTTATTATTATTTTTAATTTAAAATAATTTTTCATATTTATATATTTTGGTTAATCGGTTAACCGAACCGAAATTTTCGGTTAATTCGGTTTCGGTTAGTTCGGTTAATCGGTTTCGGTTCGGTTTTTAAAATTTACTCTATTCGGTTATTCGGTTAGTTCAGTTATCACCGATAACCGAACCGAAAAACCGAATACTCACCCCTAGTTATTACAACAAGTATTGATCTGGTCTCATAATTATAGGCAACATGTGTCTGTTGGGTTGCAAATCCCGATAAGATCCCACTATTCCCACTTTCCCTTTTCTCTCTTTCTTGAGTAGTGTGTTTCTTTTCCCCCTAGCAGAGAACCAATTAATTACTCACTGAATCGTTGGCCCAAAACAATAAGGGAGAATTATAATGAGATCTCAAAAAAAAATAAAATTACAAAACATGTCCTAAAAATTGTTACTCCTCCAATCCTTAATATAAAACCCATTTAACTAATTTGATTAGATTAAGAAAGTTAGGTAAGTTAGTTAATTATAAGAAATGTGAAACGTTTTTCCTAAAATACCATAATCATCTTTCTTAATACCCCTCTTCCTCTTTTACTTAATTATGGTTAAGGGAGTATTCATAGGAATGATTTAAAAAAAATTGATAAATATGATAAATGAGTCTTATATTTAGGACAAAAATCAACTCAACAATTAGGGCCTATATTAAGGACCGGAAGAGTATTCTCTACTTTAGAACCTGTGATTTTTTTTTTCAGGGCAGATTTGTTCCAAACAGCCTTACGTTTTCTCTTTCTCTTAATTAATG